CCTCTCTCCTGTTTCTGCTGTCACATCATTTTCTTGATCACATCCCTGAACCTTTGCCCCTTACGCTTATAAGGACACTGTGACTATATTAGACACACGTGGATAATTAAGGTCAAGACTCCCAGATCATAGTCCAGTCACAAACAAGTCAACAGCTTCACATCAGCAAAGTCCATTTGCCATGAAATGTCACATGGAGACCAATAGGAGATGAAGACACATACATTTTTGAAGAGCTGTTTTCAGTCTACCATAATCTACAGAATAACTTCTATAAAATTTAGTTAATTCTGCAGGTAACCCTTATACATGTTCTATTTTATAGTCTCTAACTTGAGTAACAGTTAAAATGTATTTTAAGAATCCCAATCATTGATCATATGAACACTGTTCATGTTATCATATGTCTAGATGTTGACTCATGGAGAGAATGGGGTTTAAAAAAGACTTACATGTAATTTCCCAAGTAAAACGATATAAATTTCTTGTCCAGTCACAGCACAAAATCAGGAAGGAGCCTAGTGACTGGGTGGCTGTATGTTCTTCAAAGCAAAAGACACATTGCTACAGGGTCAATGTTGTTACAATGATGTTTCAATCATCACAGGGTCACCAGCAGTGTCTGACTGTAGAATTGTGCTGGGTGAGATCTCATGACAACCGCAGGTTATTTAAAATTGAGATGTGTGGGTCTCCACATTGCCTGAGTTTTTTTGAAGATCATCTTGGCTATTCAAGAATATTTGTATTTTCAAATGCTTCAGGATCACTTTGTCAGTTTCTGCAAAGCCAAATGTCAAGTGTTGCTGCCTCAACAATATAAACTCTTCTAATCTAGGAATGCAGAATTTATTCTCGTGTATTTTGTTCTACCTAATTCCTTCAATAATGTTTTTGCAGATTCCATTGTAATCATATTTCAGCCCATGGTTATTTTACTAAATATATTCTCAAGTGTTTTATGTCATTTATGGATATTGTTTTAGAGAGGATCTCGCTATGTAGCCCTGGCTGGCCTGGAACTTGCTATGTAGACTAGTCTGGCCTTGAACTTGCAGAGATCTGCCTTCCTCCAGCTCCCTAATGCTAGAATTAAATTCATGCACCACCACTCCCAGTATATTTTATTATTTTTGATGCCACTGTAAATGAAGTTATTTTCTTCATTCCTTTTCAGATGTTGAATTGCTTGTATAGTGAAAGACAATTGATTTTTACATTAACCTTACATTATTTAAGCTTGGTGGGCTCATTTATTACTTAATGGACACCTTAGGAAAATAAATATTTATGTACATATATATGCTATGTGCAACTAGATATTATCTTTCTGTTGAAGTTTACAAAGTATAATATAAATGCACTACATATGAATTGTTATGGCTGAATAGTTTAAACATATGAGATATATGTTGAATGTTGATTTGTGAGATCAAAGTAAACACTAATATGTAGGTCTTTGCCCTTGATGATAGAATGTTTACAATGATAAATCAATTTCTCATCTCCACAAGCATTAAGTTCATGCCAAGCACTTGGCCCAGTGACTGGCACATGATTAACATGTAATAAATGTTAGTACATAAGAATGGTGACAGTGGTGATTATGGTAATAAGGCTCTTATTTGGGAAACATCACAGACTAATTAAAACCCTTTAGTGATTGCCTTCAGAAAATAAAACCCAATTCTTTTTGGCATGGATCTTTTACCACAGATCATCTCTTTCATCCAGTTTCTTGATTCAATTCTGAATATGCAAAATACATTTGCTTGCATGCTACATGTTCCCTCTTACTTCCAAACCTTCACGCCTGTTGGGCTTTCAAGATAGAACAGTTTTACTTATTCTAGCACACTCACTTTCCTGTCTATCACCTGATAACTCCACTGGTAATTTTTCGAGGTTTTACCTCCAAAATAAGAACCATGGCCTTCTGTGAGTTGTTCCTATGTGTCAGCATTGTAATACAGTCATCCTTCAGTTTTCCGAGGAATCAATTCAAGACTCACCACAAATACATAACCTGTAGAAGGTCAACTCCCTAATATCAGATAGTGTGGTATTTGCATACAACTTATGTGTCTTCCTGTATCCTTAACTCATTTTATCTCTTAAATGACTTATGCCTAGTATAATGCAAAAGCTATATAAACAATAATTGAGCTTATATTTTAGGGGATGATAAGAGGAATATCTTATATGTCATACACCCACAGGAATATTTTTCCAGATACTTTTGATCCATGCTTGGTTGGAAACTGTATACACGGAAGGCTATTTGTTTTACAATACTTTGACAACAATTGTTTATATTAAGATAGAGACTATGACCTGTTGAACATCCCCCACCCTAACCAATGGCCCAGAGAGAACCAGACACATTACATTATTCTACTGAGGCTAACCAAATATAAGTATCGGAAACTAAACTTTTGTAAATCACAACCCTAGGAGGATTATATTAAGCTTGGTAAGACTCTAATAGTGGATTTATGAAATTATTTAATGGAAGAAGTTTCATAGTGAGGGAGGTATATGAGTGTAGAAGCCCTAAATGCTTCCTCGGAAGCCTGAGCAGAATCCAAAATATCAAGGAAGGTTCCAGATAACACCTGGATTATATACATCTTTTGAAAGCCAACTCCATTACCATGAATTTGAAAGAAACCGTAGTAGTCTATACTAACTGAAATGGTGAAAGAGGTCAACCAATTTTAAAATCCACACACAGGCCCTCAACAAAACAAAAGCCACCTCTGGGATTTTTGTTAATTTGATAGTCCATGTAGTAGCAGCTGGGATAAATGGACCAAGGTCTATACTGCTGAATGTTGATTTTACTGTTAAAAATTGTAGCAAATACCTGGTTATAACACTTACCTGGCATTAATGCTGGTTCTGTGGGAATCAGTGGTATGCCTGCAAAGAAACAGAGATGCCCTGACTTAATCTGTATTTACATAAAAGATGACCTGCCTAATTTACATCCAGTTCTTTGCCTTCAAGGGAACTATTTAAGGAAAGAAATCACAAGAAAGAGAGATGGGAAGCAAGATACACATGTTTTAGAGAACAATTGGGAGGTTAGAAAGGAAGGAAGATTGAACTAAGTTATTGTCTTTCTCAAACTTCTGATTGCAACCAATTGCCTAAGGGGAAAATTATCCATGCATTTTATTTTTAACAGTAAAATTCAACAAGGTCCACACTTACAGTCTTCTGGATAAACACATTTAAAGGTCACCTCATCCAGGATCATATGCTTGGGGCAGTAGGGCAAGCATCCTTCAACCCTTTAAATGGAAAAACAAATGAAATAAAGCATGCATAGAAAAATCTACATTAAATATTTGTAGCTGAGGTTTAGCATGCTTAACATCTTCATCATCAGACACTTGGGAGAACTCTGTTGGCTACTACTACATCCTACTTATGAAACTGACGAAGCCGCAAACCAGGAACTCATACAAGAAATCATTATAGTGAAGGTGATGGAGGCAGAATTTGAACACAGAATGTTCAAACTATATACTTATATTGGAGGTACACTAGATTCATGTTCTAGAAATGGGTAGAAATGTAGAATAATGATCTATCTGGTGAGGGGTTTTTTTGTTGTTGTTGTTTTGTTTTGTTTTGTTTTGTTTTTTAGCTATAGCAATTATGTTGTTACTTCATTTTTAAGTGTGTGTGCATGTGTGTGTGTGTGTGTGTGTGTGTGTGTGTGTGTGTGTGCGCGCGCGCGTGCATGTGCATGTGTGTGTATGTGTACCATGTGAGTGCAGATGCTTACAGAGACCAGAAGAGGTATCACATACCCTGGAGAAAGATGCTAACACTGGGAAACAAACTCAGGTCGTATCTAAGCACCACAATCCACCTAAACATGGAGCCATCTCCCAGCCTCTGGTCTCATTTCTCTATTCCAAAGGTCTAAGCAGACTGTACAATGTTTGACTCTTATCTCCCTGAAGAGGTGTATAGGACAAAACATTAGCAGTGGCTTTTGCTGCCTAATTCAGTCCTAAGCTCCCTGAAAAGAGACTGGAGATCTCACACAGAAGAGACAGAGCGGTACATAGCTGGGGGTCTTTTCATATGGACAAGGAGAAGTAAAGGCAGGGGTGGAAGTTCTCGAGAGCATTAGCATTTGTACCCAAATTCATTCCATGATATGGGTGGGAGTGTATGTAATTATGAGCTGGAGAAGGACCAATTCCAAGATGCAGGATGTGTGGCTTGAATAAGGAACCCCATTACTTGCATAAATCACAGAAGTAAAGTGACAGTCTCAAAACTTTCAAGATGCCATGGGCTTAGGGACTGTGTGCACAGACCTAAAGATAGAGTGTAGGCCACTGTTCTTCCCCAGGAATAAGATCAAAGTCTGGCTGAGATCATATCTTCCTGCCACTCAGTTGAAGCCCAGTGTCCAATGTTTCCTTAGTGGAAGGAACTGTAAACTGCACCATACAGCCAAGTCTAATTATGAGATTCACATATGCCACAGAGAATTAATGCAGATCCTCACAGGAAAAGGCCCGATTATCTTCCTCTCAAATGAACTAGCAGACTGTAATAATATTTTTAATATTTTCAAAACACTTCCGGTTGCTTCATGTTTTTCTTTTCAGGATGAAAATGAACTAACTTGACATGATGAAGGTCAGCAGCAGCAGAGGGCAGTGTGTGTGAAGCAAACTCTTTCTACTGAACAGACTTAAGTAGGGACAGTTAATGTCTCAGACACCACATTTGCCAATGACTCTTTTAAAATACAAACAGTTCATATATGATCAACTGCTTGCTTCATCCAATGGACTTGAATAATAAAACATTAACCGACAATATAACCCTATCTGAAACTTTATCAGGCAGGAAAAAGGACAGGAAAGTTACAGGATAATTGACAGGCTACAGGCAGTGGATTATCGCTAAATGAAATCATCCTTACTTTTTTATTTAATTCAATTGTTTTCCAATTGTTTTGTAAGGGACAAAATTCATACCCATCCTCCTAAACCATTTTCCAAAAGCCATTGTTTTATCACTAACTTCATAGTCACTCATCGCAGGCTTCTCTTTGCTTTGGCATACAGTTAATAATATGGCCAACTTCCAACTAATAGATGGAATGCCTTGGTGTGAAAGAATTCCTATAAAAGAGACACAAGAAGAAGAATTTACATATGGGCTCCATCACACTCTGCTTGACATTATTTTCTCACAAACAGCTTTCACTTTCACGGACCACTTTTGTTTTTAACTGTCGCTTGGTGCCAGGAACTCAAAGAGTCTGAAACAAGAATGACTGATCGTTCATTTGGGCACTTGAAAGAGGGGTGTAGGGGTATGTTAAAGCCCAGCTTAGTGCATGGGTGCCCCTGGGTCACAGGCACACTCAAGAGTCGGCACAGATACTCCAGCACAGAGGAAATGACAGGAAGGGACGTGCAGAAATGAGAGAGAGTTTGGCAGGTAGAAATTTCCTCCTGCATCTTCTAGTCACCCCTCAATTCTCCCCATCAAGGGGAGACCTTCAAGACAATACACTGAAGGCACTGGGAAGCTGGCTTCGGTCACCTCAGTCACTGGCTGTGCTACAAAGGTAATAAGGGCACCTAAATGTCACTTCCTGTTACAGCTGGCTTTTCTCCTGGTGACAGCCACGTGTCATCTGCTCCCTTCCTCCCCAGGGGTCATCGTGACCACGTGGTCATGCAGCTTCCTTGCCTCCTCATAACTACCAGAAGGTGCATGATGAGATGCGTCTGTGACTGTGAGAGGTCCAAAAGGTAATAAAGACTTCTTTCTTCACACACACACACACACACACACACACACACACACACACCACACACACACACACACACACACACACACACACACACACACACACACTTACTTCCATTTAAAGATAACAAGCAGAATTCCCTTCCATCCCTCTATTCTCACTGTACTTGGTAAACAGGGCACAGCGAATCAGACCCTCTCTCTCTTCAAACTGTGTGGCTTAGGAAGAGCCAATGACTTCTCTGGGCCTCAGCTAGTCTGCTCTATAAAAGTGGGGGAGGGAGGAAGGGGGGGGAATAATGAGATTAGCTATTCCACAGCTATTCCACAACACAACACCTGAATGTGTTGGTGATGTTGGTCCCTTCTCTAGCTCTTGCCAGACTGTTGGCCCTGCTTTTGAGTTCTGTTTCCTTTGGGAAGACTGAGAGCTCCTAAGACCTAGGTCTCACTTAGTCACATGCCTGGGGCATTTCATAATACCAAGATAGCAATAATAATTCTGAGAAGAAACTCCTAGATCTTTAATATAAAATGACTTCAAAATATTTCCTCCCACTATGGGCCCATTTCCCCTTTCTCCTTCACAGCAAAATCCCTGTTTATGAAAGCGGCTGACACTTCCTGCTTCCATCTTGTTTCTTTCTCATGTCCAGGGTACTAAACCCTATGAAGAATTTTCAGTCTTCAGTTGAATATCCTTAGAAGTCAATTTCTCTCCCCTACATTTTCCTTATCTCATCAGAGGGCAGTATAGTCTTCCATGGCATTCAATGATTTGAACTTTCCAATAGTTGTCTAGTTTTCAGTATTGTGAGCTGAAGTTCCCTGAAAAAGCCACACATATGTTCAAGGTTCTACAAGGCTAGTGGTGGATGGAAAGTTAAAACTGTTTGATGGAGGAGGGCTGGAAGCCAGGTTCTCTTGAACTATCTTTAGCTTCCCTTTAATAGCCATCCACTGCTCATCTGTGTGTCTGACCTCACATCCTTACAACTATTAAGTAAAATCTTTGGGAAGGTCCTAACTTAAGAGATCATGTTAGTGGCCACTGACCCAAAAGCTCACAATGTCATCAGACAGCATCCCAAGGCCATAGCAAATATTTCCCACTTTCCTGTAATCTGCCTACCCCATGTACCCTTTAGTGAAAAAAAAATGCCTTGATTTATGTCTTTCTTTTGTTCTTTTGCATAAAACCATCATAGAACCCTTTCCACATTAATCTGTGATATTTGGGGTAGCTGGAATCCATGTTCAGAAGCCTTGGGCGCTTGGACTTGGATAAAGAATAAAGTATCTTTTACCCCTTTGGGGTAAGAACTACACTTTGCAAGAAGACTGTGAAAGAGGCAAATTCATCCACCTTCAGTCAAGCTGGGGTCATGCTGGGGCGCTCAACTTCTCTTCCACCTGTCAATCATACTGACTCTATCAGCACATTCTAAGTTTGAAACACCTCCAGAATCTGATTACATGACCTCTGAGGATGCCAGCCCAGCCAAATCGCGTCTAAGCAAACTCTTAACTGGCAAATTCTGCCCTTGCCTGTTCCCCTCACAACAGTCCATTTCAGTTCAACATCCAAGGAGCATGTAGTTGAATCATAAGCACATCTTGTCATGTCTTTGTGTAAAATATGCCAGGGTTACCAGTCTCACTGTAAACAACCAAGTCCTTACGACAAGCTTGCTTGCCACAGTGGGTCTCTAGCCTTGGCTCCTGCTTCTTTCACATCTGTTCACTTTTCACTTTACCCACACAACTTTGCCGACCTTCAAGGACACCAAACCTATTCCCACCACAGGATCCATGCATCTCTCACAGATCAAAAGTCTCTTCCGCGGATACCCACAGAGCCAGTTTCCTGGCTTCCTTCAGGTCTCTGAAAAGATCACACCTTCTAGGTGTCTTCTTCCCTCACTATCAATTGAACCCCCCTCTCTTTCCTTCCTTCCATTATTTTATCTATAACACACAGCACTATCTAACAACACAGTCACACAACCCATCCTATACACTTTGGGTTATTCTCTGCTTCTACTCATGTGTAGACCACATGAGGTCAAGCTCTTGTCCTCTTCACAATCTTACCTAGTGGCAAGCAGAATTACTTACACATAATAGATCTTCAATACCTAGTTAAGGTTAAAATTACATCAACCCATAGGTTAGCAGATAGAACAAACAAATTTTCTTTAACAATGGATGCATTTCAACTGGACACAAAGATCACCCAGGACAGAACCCGTAGACACTAGAATTTGCAGGTTTATGCACCAATGTCACTTACGGTGGAAGGAACGCACAGGCTAAGGCTTCGGGGTCACTGCATGTTTTAAAACAAGGAGTAGCACAAGGTTGATATCTCCACTCACACATCCTCCTGTAAGGCACCACTGCCTGGATTTCTGAGAAAATAAGAGGGAACTGAGATTACGTGCATTGAAACACACATCTTGAAACCTAATAACTTACAGTTGGAACCTGGGTGATGCTTGACCCCTCTCTCATCATAGTGTTCTGTAAAAGATAAAGCTGTCTGATTGAAGCATTATAATTCCCTGATGACCAGAAGATCTGGCACTTGGGGTGAATGACTAAATGAAGATCTAGCCTCCAAAGAGTTTAATGTTCTCCTTTCTCTAATGTTTAGTTATATTTTCACTGATTTTCCAATCTTAGTAATTGAGAACTTTACTTTTTACAATGTAATTTTAAATCTATTTTATCCTTGCACAACTCTCATGAGTAATATTACTTGCAATCTAAAATGAAACATGCCTTCATTATAATATCCTAGCACCTTCCCAGACTCAAACAATAAGAAAAATGGTAAGACCAAATGCACATCTCAAGACCAAAGCTCTTGGGAGCATGTTTTAACACTGCCCTTCCCACAGAACTCGGCACATGGTTTCATACCTAGTAAGGATTGCTTGAATACAAAAGAGCAAATCGGGGTGATTGAAAGATAAATTCTGCAGTTCTATGTCATGTGGTTAAAGACTTTTCTCCTACAAACTCTGGCACTATATTCTCTTTCCCACATCACGGAGAAGTCCTTCTGGCACAGCTCAAAATTTCCTCTACATAAGAGATCATTTAAATCTACATCCTGAATCTGCATCCCTGAAGACTCTAATTCTCAAGTGTGGTAAGAAAACAAGCTGTTTCAGAAGGATTCTTTGTGTATACAGAGCTAAGCTAGAGTTCCTAGTTCATGGGTCCAGAAAGAGGACTGGCTTTAGGACCAGAGGAGACCAGTAGAGTTTCTCAGTGAATGAAACCATTACAGTAGTCAATGTCTCACATAATGTCATTGACTGTCCTTTGCTGGACCTTGAGTGAGGTTGCTAGCTCTGGCTCTTGGAGAGCAGACTTCTGGAGTAGAGGGGAAATAGAGGCTTATTGAGTTCAGCTTTATATACAGTCAAGTAAAATAATCATACCACTCTACAAGAACATTATGCAGGCATGTCAGTACTTTCTCTCAAGAAACAAGAGGGGAAGGAAATGTCCCCAGATGGCCTTGGCTATCCCCAACATTTAGAGTCCCGCTTGTGCTTCTTACAGTAACTATAGAATGCTATGGGGGTGTACTATGCACATATAGAGGGGAACTTTTGAGATTAACCCAGGCCTATCTTGCTAAGCCAGTGTGTCCTGAAAATTCTGTGCTTAGGGATGTCAGTGGTACCCGGAGTCCAAAAGACTACCATGCCCTGCTCTTCCTGCTGCTGAAGTGCCTCTGGAGTATGTAGAGACAAGACATCACCTGCCCTGAGCTGCTCTCCTGAGCATGGGAGATGGGGGTCAGGGCACTAGCTTAAGGTGAATGCTAAGCTTCAGTGGATTTTTACCACCTCCAGGAAAGTGATAATGTTGCTTGTCCTGACCCCTTCTGTCTCATTGGACTAGATCTAAGAAAACAAGTACTGGAAGCATTGGGACTCCTGTAGCCTTGCTTTGAGTCCCTTGCTAAAATAAGAACACTCGCAGCTGCATTTAAACAAAACCTCCTGCCATACTCAAAACCTTTGAACTCGGGGATTTATGCTAAGCAATGCTTTTCAAGTACAGTTCAGGTTTTCTGAAATCCACCCCTTAAAGAACTTTTAAGAAAATCATTCACAGTAGAAAAGGCAAATGATTAGCAATATTGAACTCCTTCAGAGGATTGTTTAAAATGGAGCAGGGTTTGGAGACTTCAGATGGAAATCAAGCTACTGGGTTTTGACAACAGAGCATGACTTCAGCTGTAGAAAGAGAAGATTGCTCTCTCACACAGGTCTCCTCAGCTGTAGACTGCAAAGGAACTTTCTTAGAAATCAGATCAGGCTTCTGCAAAACTAAGGAAACTTTGCAGAGGTCAGTGAATCGAGGCACTCTTGGATTCAGAAGACAGAGATAAATGTGCTGTCTTCAAGTCTAAGAATTAGATTATATAGGAAGCTGTTTTATATGAAAAAAGTAGATCCAAACGCTGGACCATTTCATGAGATGTGAGTGGATTTTGATGCAAAAGCCCATTAAGCACTATTAATAATATTTGGAGAAACAGTATTAAAGTTATTTTAAGTTATTCTAAGCCATTTATACCTATGCATTTACCATTGTAGATAAAAATCAGCATTATGCCTCCTGTTTAGCTGAGTAGCTTGAGAGGTAGAAGGCTAGCATCACATAAGTCTACTCAGATACTTAACGCGAGCATCTGACAAGGTCTGCATGGCATAAGCATCTGTACTCTCTACGGAGCTCTCAGGAAGCACACCTTCTATGCTGAAGCTGCTTGACTGCTTGAATTCTTCCGAATCATCATATTTCAGTGCTTTGACACTAGAATCCGTGAAAACGATGAAGAAGCCTTTCTTGCTGTATAATTCAAATGCACTATAACCAGGAATCCAAAGCCCTTGATGGTGGAAAAACGTTACTCTCTGACGAAATGCTGGGTTTGCCTGCCACAGTGACAAGCCAAGAGTGTCATTGTCGTGGACATAGAGAAAGTAATTTGGCCTTTCAGCAGATTCCAAGGAAACAAGAGCCAGTGCTGTAAAACAGAGTGTCTTGATGACTTAGAGTCTCAGGGAAAGGTAGAGCACATGCACAGGCATCACAATGTGTATTTATAATGTTGAAAATATTCAACACACCACCACGCAAAATGAATGCCCAACTCAGGCACATCAGACACGAATTATGAGATTTTTAAAGAGAAAAGGCAATGCTTGAAATGCAGCGAATACCTCCCCAAACCAATCTCTGACAGGTTCTAGGTTTTAATTTTTCTATTATGCCCTTGGAAGGAATATGCAAAAATAATAGCTAGCTATACTTATAGGCTATAATATTTTCACATATAAAACCTACAAACCACTAAACTGTGTGATGGAAAAGAGTGAGGAAACCAAAATATGCACTAATTTAACTTTGTAACCAACTGTACTTCCATATCAATGAGAACTTAAGGACAAAAATGATTCTCGTAATGAATTTTTGCTCCATTGAGAAAATGTTATTTATGCAATAGTATCGTCTATTTCTCAAAAGATGACAAAATAGCTAATGAATAAACAGGATTTCCAAAGCATGGATAGTATGATTGTAAATCATCAATTTGCTTTGAAATTGTCCCTTATATATATGTAAGACTCCTGATATAAACACTTTTATTAAGATATTGAGTTAATTTAAAAAAAATTATCTGTATCTTTCAAGAACAATAGTCACTATAAATTATAAAATCAAGAAGTCTATCAAATGCCATGTTACCAAAGACATTTATGTTTGTCCTTAAAACTTTCAAATATCATGACTGAGACAACAAAGATGCAAAATAAAATAAAATAATTTTTTGTACAAAGGAAAACAGTTGCAACTAATGTAAGTGAAAAGTTGAGGCTGATAGATGCTTGCAGAACAGAGTTGATTTCACAAGAAAGAAGATATTTATTCAAACTGGAGAATTGGGAAAGTTTTCTCAGCAAAGTGCATATTTTATCAGATTCATTCATTTCACATTTTTTTTTCCTTGAGCTTGTAGAAGAAGCTGTTCATGGTTCTAGGTAGACTACAATGAAAATGTAGCCTGGTATCACTGGCCAGAAGGGGGCACACCCACCTGTAAGAATAAGTGCCAGGGAGATCCAAGCCTAGGACATAGGCTGCTGGTGCAGCCAATGAATGAAGGCAGTTTCAACACCTGAGACCAGGGCAGAGGCAGTGTACTAAGACACAAATGCCATCTCGGTGATTGTCTACACTCTGATATGTATACCTCATACTCAGCTCATCTGATCCTTCCCTTTCTCTGTAACCTGGTATTAAAGTCTTCCCCGCCCCCGCCCCGCCCCCTGGAGCTGAGGACCAAACCCAGGGCCTTGCACTTGCTAGTCAAGCGCTCTACGACTGAGCTAAATCCCCAACCCCGGTATTAAAGTCCTTTTAGTGTAAGGAATGAATTGACTATCTTTTAAATTTTTTCCAAGTAAGTTCTGTGGTTAATGCTATGCTGTAAACATTTAAACAGTGAGTTACTTAATAAAAAAAATCCTCAAACATCCACAGTTCTAACATAGCAATACCAATAGATACACAAATTATTTTATCTATAAAACATCCATTTTATATGCCAAGATTTTGTTTTATATTCTTTGGGGAATTTAGAAAATGTCAGAGCACATGAAATATCCAATTAATACTTGGGGAATGGTTCATGAAAAAGTGTAAGTGAAAAACTAAATTAACATTCTCAATTATACTTACAGGATGTCTTCTCTTTGAAAAGGCCCGGAGTGATCATAAAAATAAAAAATAAATTACCACGATCACTACTTCTCGGCAAAGAGAAAACACTTCTACTGGTCACATTGGCACCCAGAACAAGGCCACTTTGCCCATAGCTTGCCAGCATATACGGTCCTTCGCCGAGTCCTGGTGAAGTTACAGGTAAGATAATTATAGATTAGCATGGAACTTTACATTTTTAAAGATAAAAATACTCCATAAATATGCTGCAATTAAAATTTTTTCACTGATAAATTAACAACTATTTTAAAAATAAAAACAACTTAGTATATAGTATGCATATTTAAAATGTATAATTTACACTATAGAAATACAAATGTATATGTACATTTATGTATGTAAATATGTACATGGGTGCATGCATCAAATTTTTTTATACATAGAAAATAAAACTCGGTGGAAAATGACTTAATCATTTAGTCTTCAAATTTTCTCTCCTCTAATAAGAAATTTGTCTAGGTTTCCTTCCAGTCCAAGGATATTGACATCTTCAATAAACACATGAAGTTTATCTGTATCAGAGCCTCTGAGATGGCTCAGCAGGTAAATGGTTTCTACACCAGCCTGGTAGCCTAGGTTTGACCCGTAGAATCCATGGTGGAAGAGAGAGAACCCAACTTATGAAGGCTGTCTTCTGAGTTCCACATAAGTACTGTGGTGACATACAGCATGTGCATATACATATACTTGCATACACACACACACACACACACACACACACACACACACACACACACACACATGCAGGAACACATGCACATACACATACACATGCACACACTAAATGGTTATCATAAATAAAATCTTAAAGACATTTGTCTGTACTAAATAGTATGCTATGACACTCTTCCAATTGTATTGCATGGGAAAAAAAAGAATTCAAAGACACAATATCCAATATTTTCTTGTTTGGGAAATTTTAAATTATCACCAGTAAGGTGAGTCTAAAATAAAGAGGAAACAAGATGCCTAAACCCAGACATGAAACTCCTCAGAGTAATCTTTTTGCAAACTTCAGCTTAGAAAAATAAGTATATAAATGATAAATATGTCCATACTTTAAAATTACTATTTTTTATAACCCAATTTCTGTGCAACTGGTGTTCTTAATATAACTGAGCATAATAAAACTTCAAACATTTCTTATGAATCATAATATATTGTTACATCATGACTGACTATCTACTTTATACAGGTGTGTGTATATTTTTGCCTTGTGGATTATATTCGGTGTTACTGTGGGTGTGGTGGATCATGTCCTAAAAGGTTAATCATGTCACATTTGATCACACTTTCCCCTTTTCTCATTTTTACCTCAAGCACAATTTTACCCTCTCAGCCCACCCTAAGTAAGAAAGAAAAAAATATGCAATGAATGTAAGAATAGGGTTTTTCTCCTTTAAAGGACTCAAGTCAGGTAAGGGGGAAGGGGTTAACCAGATTAGAGGAATAAGATGCCTTCCAAGAAGGAAACTGAGGCTCCAATTTTCCATCATAAAGACCAGGAGAAGGAAGGATTCAGTGCTGTTCCCTCCACTGATATTATCTGGAATTGGTCACCTGGAGCAGCTGGAGACACACAGACTATGAGAGAAGAGCTTCCAGGAATCAGTGAAATACTTGAATGTCCTGAGCAGAGATGGGGTTGGAATGACTGCCCTCCTGCCAAGGTGGAGCTCAGCAGCAGCAGTGAGAAATTCTCCACAACACAGGTATCAGGAGGTTCTGTCCTTGTAACTAGTGTTTACTATGCACAGTGTCAAGCCAAGTCCAAAAGAATTAGAGGAAATTACACCAAAATTCTGTACTGACTTCCTAAAAAGAACTTAAGAGAAAGAGTGATAGAAACCTCAAAGAGGAAAATATACTCCAATTTGTAAGTATGTAGATTCATATAAGTATATATATATATATATATATATATATATATATATATATAAATAGGTGACTAATACATAGTGTAACATAATTCAGTACACATTTGTATGCCTTGCCTTGATGAAACTCATTACTTTGATGCTAGCCTAAAAATAAATATAAATGTATAAATCAAAATGAAGATGCATACACAACAGTGGCTTAAGGACTTGAAGCATCCTTAAGGATGTTCATCCTCAAGGTTGGACAGCTAGACAGATATTCCTTCTCACTGAATATATATATGTCTCATTACACCAGCATAAATAGATGCTTGTCATCCATCCATGTTAAAATATGATGGCTGAGGAGGACTGGGGGAAACAGTGTCTTTTGCACATGGAGGGACCATTGCATCCACGGAATCATATGAGGTCATGAGTTACCTGCACAAGATCAAGCCAGTCACCATTCTGTCCCTGAGCAGAGTGGGAAGGTGTTTACATGGCCCCATCCCTAAAAGAGGAGTTATTAACAGTTGATAGCTACTAAACCAGGGACAGTCTTCCTTCCTTAGGATTGTGGCCCCAGGTAGGTTGACGACGTTCAGGTGAATGGCCTTACATCTACGCACGTATAGGCAGCACTGATTAGACTTGGTTGTGGTGATATCTTGTGTACCCTAATAAAATGTGCCTGAAGATCAGAGAACAGAGCAAGCCACTAGATTAAACATAGAGGCCAGGCAGTGGTGGCACACACCTTTAATCCTAGCATTCAGGAGGCAGATATCTGTCTGGATCTCTGTGAGTTCAAAGCCTCCTTGGACTACCTGAGATTGACTCAGTCTAGGAGAGAATCGGCCAAGCAGTGGTGGCACACACCTTTAATCCCAGTACTTGGGAAATACACACACCTTTAATGGCTGGGTAGGAAAAGGTATATAAGGCATGAAGACGAGGGAACTAGAAGCTTTGTGGCTGAAGAAGCTCATTCAGCTAGAGGCCCGTCGACTGAGGCTTTTCAGGCTGAGGAGTCCTAGAGATAAGGCTAGTGGCAGTGGCTTGTTCCTTTGTCTCTCTGATCTTTCAGCATTTACACAAATATCCAGTACCAGATTTTTTATTATAAGATCATTTAGTAATTTCTGTTATACTTGGTGAGTTATTTAAAAACAAAAGAAGAAAGGAAGTATATTTTTAAAAGAGGATGTGAAGTTGGAAATTGGACACAGGGGAAGGATCCAGGAGGAGTTGGAGATGGTGGATATGATCAAAATATATCATATACATGCAGGAAATTCTCAAGAATAAATACAAATCTATTTTAAAAATCAAGCCTAATGCTTTTTAAAGAGCCTCCCAGTGAATTTACACCATGTTTCCAGACTAAGTTCATGTACTTTCACTGCAATTAAGATATTATTAATGATCTTATATCAGTTTCTAAGGTGACATGTACAATCCTACTGTTAACTAAAATCAGCCATTTCCAACACTGAATCCTAAACACAGTTACAAATACATCTTAGCCAATAAAACCACTCTGAACTTCATTGCATAATGATTTTGAGCAGGATACTAAAGTCTTTGCCCACATCCAGCAATGACAACACACCCTTTGCATTATAAGAAAATAACACACAAACAACCATGAAGAATTTACACATAGGGTTATTGAGACAATTTCAGGTACAACCTTTACATTCTATTTTTAATTTTGTCTTCTGACAATTATCTATTTATGTATTTTCTTTGAATAACACGACACAGTTTCTGACATGTTGTAGATAAACAAGGGAGAGAGTTCAGCTATAAATGTCCAGAGAAGCCAAGATAGTTTATAAGAGCTGTAAAATGATTTGGAGTTAAACAAGTTGAAAAAAGTCACTTAAAACAATGTTGTTGATTTTCAGTGACTTCCATCAACAATCTCTACAACTCTATAATATAATATATAATATAACATCAATCTCTACAATTCTACAACCTTCTTCAGTCACCTATGTCCACCACAGCAAACTCTTCCCCCTGGGCACATTGACTCTTTTCCCTCTTACCTGAGTCATAGAAAATCAATCCCCTGCCTGCCCCTCCATTGAACCTACTAGTGTCTTCTCAGAACTGGATGCCCTGTGTTCGCCTTCTGATGCTATAAGCACAGCCTTATAAACAAAACTCAAGGTTTGAGAATTCTGTAACACAATAGAAAACAGACCGCCCTGATTGATAACATGTACCAAGCCGCAAGCAGTAGTGACTCAGAGTGTCCTGACTCCAGTGATCTGCAGACAGCAGACCAGAAAGCAGAAAGCACAGGAGGAGACCAGCACAGGGCTGTGGGAGTGCACAGATTTAAATGAGGAAATCACTGGAGTATTCCTTACATTGATTCTGCATACAGAATGCAAACGGCATGGCAGTGATTCAAGGTCATCCTCCTTGTGCACAGAACCACACCTGGCCAGGTAGCACAGACTTCAAGGTCAGTGCCTTGGGAGGCATGCAGCTTACAAGTCCCAGATGATCCCATTTTTTATTCAGGGCCTTTGGCAACGTTATTTAGTTTCTTCATGTCTCAATTTCCTCTTAAATAAAATGTTAACAGAAGCTACTTCTGTTATTACTGTTGCTATAATTAGTCAATCAATTAAATTTTTAATTGTGAAGCCCAAAAGATTAATAGTCTCTCTCTCTCTCTCTCTCTCTCTCTCTCTCTCTCTCTCTCTCTCTCTCTCTCTCTCTCTCTCTCTCCTCTCTCTCTCTTCCTCCCAATTCCCCCCTTTGGCTGTCTCTCTCTTTCTCTAACTGCTGTTCTATTCTCCTCTTTCTACTTCTGCTCATCTGATAAAAATCTTGGACAAAAGGTACCTTTGGTTAGATTTTTGTTTATCAAAGGGATTGTGTTAATGTTGGCTTTTATTCAACTTTTAATTTCTATAAATGTAACAAAACAACTGAAAGCATTTTACCACCCCCCCTCCTTGGGTTTTTTTGTTTGGTTTGGTTTTTGTTTTGTTTTTTTTTTTCCTTCATCATCTCCCATGTCTTTGAAGTTATGGAGCTTTCTTTATAGAAAGCTATCTCCCTGGTTTAGATTGGTTGCTGGTCCGGGTTTCCTGTGACCGTCATTCTAACTTCCTCATCCATCTATATCAGTTCCAAGTGTGCCCAGGCACTGATAAGATGCCACCCCTCCAGACCGCCTCACTTGGCTGAACGAGGTTTGGATGACTGTATCTTTCTCATTAAATAGTTTCAGAAAAAGCAAAGTCTGAATCTGTTGCCTTCTGGTTTGCTTGTTTGTTTGTTTGTTTGTTTTCTGATGTTCTCATTCACCTCTTCCCACATTTGTTAAAACACCCAATCATTACAAGCCTGAATGCTGGCTGAGGCTAGCAGATTTTGATTGTTATTATATATTGAGTTTTCAGTTGATAATATGTAATTTTACGGTAGCAGCAAAAGGCATTTCTTATAGTATCATCTTCACTTTGTTTCTTGGTTTCCCACAATATAACAAAATTACATTGTGGATAAGCCACGATGCTGTGTCATGATCACCAGAATTTATTCTCCTTAGCAAACGGAACTTTCTGCTCTTTGATCAGTATCTGCCCTTGACTCATTAACCCTCTGCTTCCCCAACTCTGCTGAGCACCACATTTGTCTCTACTTCTGAGAGTCTGTTTTAAATAAGCCATGAAATGGAAGCAAACAGAATTTCATTCTACCTGGATTATTTTATTGAGCTTGACATCCTTTAGGTTCATTCATGTTGTCATAAATAACAAAAGTCTTACTATTACTTTTGGCTAAATATGAAATACCTAGAAGGGTTTTAAGTGTTCTCAACACACAAAGTAAATGTTGAGATGATTGACATACTAATTAGTCTCATCTTATCATCCCATTGTGCATTTACTAATAACAACGCCACATTTCACTGCAAATATATAAAATTATTAATTTAAAATTATGGAAATTTCAAAACTTTTGGATAGGTTTCATAGTTATATGAAATGGTACAAGATGTGCCTTTGCTATATATACTTTTATAATTTACCTAAAATTAATTTAACTTTTCATTCATTTGTGCCATTCCAAAAGTATTTTTGGAAAACCCTCTAAATACAAACAACCTAAATTACCCACTTTTATTCTTAGAAAACAAATTTTAGCACTAGTACACACTTTTATTCTTAGAAAATAAATTTTAGCACCAGTCCTCAGAAAATTAGATCAGCTGTAGAAAGAAAAGCTTTCATAACTTTGTCTTTCAACTCATGAATTATTTGTTTTGTTCATAGTATAAATGGTTCAAAAAGTTTTACCTGAAAACATATCTGACAGAATACTGCAGTAATATTCATTAAAATGACACATACCTTCATTATAGTATTCACAATCAAGAGCTAAAAGAAAGAAAAATAAATATTAAATTGCATATAAATTTCATAGTACTTGTTTGAGTATGTGCAATGACAAGACAAGCATTTATTAATAACTACATAAAATAACAGAGAATGACATCATTACTTAGAAACTTCTTATGAGTAAAGGCGATGTGTGTGTGTGTGTGTGTGTGTGTGTGTGTGTGTGTGTGTGTGTGTGATTTTTGTATGTGTGCGAGTGAGAGAGGAGTAAGCAAGTACATGTTCATGTAGCTGTATAGCTGATGTTTTCAAAACAGTCCCGCTTATAGCCTAGGCCAGCTTCAAACTCACTCACAGTGATCCTCCTTTCTCAGTCTCTTGAGTGCTGAGAAACAGGTGTACACACCCAGGTCTTGCTCAAAGGGTATTTTTAAGATGATATGTTTCAACAAAAATAGGTTTCATGACATTATTTTTTTTTTAATTTTACATCCCAGCTGCAGGTTTCCCTCCCCGTCTCCTTCCCAGGCCCTTCCCCCACACACACACACCCCTCTGTTCCTACCCCCAATTCACTCCCCTCCTCCATTTCTGTTTAGGAAAGGGCAGATCTCCCATCAACACAGCATGGTATATGGAGTTGCAGTAAGACTAAGCACCTCCCCACGTATTAAGGCTGGGCAAGGTGACCCAGTATGAGGAGTGGGGGCCCCAAAAGCCAGTAAAAGAGTCATTAAAAGAGGCAGCTCCTGTTCCCACTGTTCCCAGTCACACAAGAGGAGGATTCATGACATTATTTCAAAGGTAGATAAATGCTTGGCAGTTTAGAAGCCAATCACAGACACTGTCCAAATCATAATCTGTTCTTCAGATGACTAACCACCTACATAAGTAAATAAAATGATTAAGGAGTCAAAGCTGAAAGGGAATCAAGATGGGTTTTTAAAAGAACATCCTTATTATCAGAAGGATGAAACTTCACAGGCAAAAGAGGATTGGGATCATAAACAATTTCTGTGAGGATGGTATGTAATTTATATTTCAAAAGTTGCAGGAAGAGGAGTCAAACATAATAGAAAACTTAACACATTTTTTCTCTTTGATATATGATAATTGGTGACTGTCAAAAGACTATGAAATTCAGACAACTAAAAATCATATTTCCATGAGCTTCATGGCATTACTCCACAATAAAACGGCAATTACTTTGGATCTTCTTAAAAACTATCCACTTAATGATCTCCCAAGCAAGGTACCCACCACAAACAGTGGGTGACCTCCAGTGAACGGGCACCCCTTCCTGGCAGCATTTGTAGGCATATGCCGCCACATTGGTACATAGACATTCACAGTCCCCTCCGAGGTTACAGTTACACGTATCCTCATGGCAGTTTTTGGCAAAAGAAGTAACGTCAATCTGGAAGTAAAATGGAAGATAATATGATTTCAATAAGCGCTGATTGTGATTAAATTCCAACTTCTGGGAGAGTACGTGCACATTTTCCACAATGGCTGTCATCAGCATAATACTGCCACCCACGTAGTCCTAATTGTCTCAGCCCACTGTGTTGTCAAAGGAAATGGAATTACCAAGCAAATGCCACCTCGGAGAACTAGCAAAACAAGTAAGACTAACAGATAGATCCGTTTTAACATCTGCACAAGGGCAGATTTCAGACTTTTCAAAGTCCATTGTTACATTGTTGCGTTCTTGGCATAATCAACCCGCATTAAAGCAGCTTGCTCTGTTTCTAAATGCACTTCGCTTTTTTCCCCCTTTTATTTCTTAGTCTCCCAAGTGGCAATATGCTGCTGATGATGAGTGACAGGGGCAGTTTCTTTTAAATGTCTCATATGCAATTAATTACTTCCTTTGCATTGTGCTTGTTAAATCACTGATGGAGTTGGATAGAGTATTGACAATGTGTTACAAAAGAAGGGTTTGGTATCAGTCATTTGTGTTTTATGTGGTGTGTCAATGCATGGGTTAATTTTTCAAGTAGCATCCAGGAGAGGAGCCTTGAGGCTCTGTGGCTTGGTTCCAGAATGAACATCTTACTGCCTGTCAAGGAGCTATGGTCCCTAAGAAGCATAAAAACTCCCAAATGGAGCCTTTTGATAAATAAGATTCTAGATATATAAAGTCATCTTGAATTTCCTTTAAATTCCTAATACTTTTGATATTATAGCAGAATCATCACAATAAAACTTACAACTGAGGTGTTTAAAATAATACATATTTAATAGTATTTAATAGTATTACATAGTAACATAAATTGCATATTTTATTAAAAATCTGCATTTGATCAAGCAAAATTAAATTAGTGGGGAGAGTGCACTAATTTAATGCTTTATTTACAGTTTTGCAGATTTCTTTAACGTCTTTTTGCAGGACACAACCTTGATTCTTGTATCTGATTTCCCATGCAGCGTGCTATACTATATTTGCTGTGGCTTGTATTTGGTCAAAATCTGAGAAAAGTTCTCTGTGTACATATAACAGAAAAGTCAATGGTTCTTAATACATTGGGGGTGAGTAACTGTGATGATGTTCTTTGTGCTATATCCATAACCGTGGCTTTCTTTTTTTATTTTTTAAAAGCAGGATATATTGTGTTAGATAACATGATGGCATGTTTTGAACACAGTGTGTTTTAGTGATTCTCTTTTCCCCACGTTTCCCTCATGGCCTCGCCCCTACTATCCCTGAGCCCACCTACACAGCCTCCTGGGCAAAGAGGAGGGAATCTTTGCTTCTTTTATGTCCCCTTTGCCCTTTCTCACTTCTTATCCATACTCATCACCTATTAATTACCTTCTTGGTCTCCTTTCTACATTTTTAGGCTTTATTCTCTTATATCTCTTTATATGTAAACATGTATACATTATAGGATAGGATCTGTATATGAGAAGAACATGTGTATCACACACACACACACAAAAAAAAGTATCACAAAACTAGAACTAGGCCCTCTGCATAGTGAGACAGTTGTGTAGCTTGACCTGTTTAAGGGGCCCCCTGGCAGTAGGATCAGAATCCATCCCCAGTGCATGAGCTGGCTTTCTGGAGCCCACTTCTATAATGGGACACCTCGCGCAGCCTTGAGGCAAGGGGAGAGCTTGGACCTGCCTCTACTAAATGTACCTTCCCATGGGAGGCCTTACCTTATAGGAGGGAATAGAGGGTGATTTTGGAGGGGAAGGCTGGAGGGGCAGGAGGAGGGAAGAGGGGGATCTTTGGTATATAAAATGAATTAAAAAATTTTTCTTAAAAATAAAAATAAGCAAATATTAATATCAAAAAAGTATACAAACCTTTTAAGCACACAGATTTTTTTTCCCTTTCTGAGTCTGTATTTAATACTGCACAGCTCCATCCATTTTCATCTTTCTTTACAGCTGAATAGAATTCAATGTGTACATGCACCACATTTCTGTTATGCATTCACCTGTTGGTGGACATCTGCGAGACTGATATAATTTCCTTGCTGTTGTGAATATGCATAAATAAACTTGGATGGGACAGTGTCTCCGTAATAGGATATGGATCCTTTGTAAAGGTGAGAAGTGGTATGGCTGGGATTTATGGCAGTTCTTGTTTTAATTTTTTAAGGAACTCCACATTGATATCCATAAAGACTAAGATATCTGGAACCATGCCAGTGAACTCTGTACTTTGCTGGATCAAGCTCTCTAGGTTTAACTTGCCTTTGAAATAAACTTTTATTCCTGTGAGTTTCCATATCATTGTGCATTGATTATTTGAAAAATGTGTAGTTTACAAAGGTCTTCTAGACATTAATGCATTTAATTACATGTGGTGGTATTGTGTTCCCCAAAATATTGTGCACGCTAATAAACTTATCTAGGGTCAGAGAACAGGACAGCCACAATATTAAACATAGAGGATAGGCAGTGGTAGCACACGCCTTTAATCCTAGCATTCCAGAGGCAGAATTCCATGTGTTCAAGGATACAGCCAAGCATGGCGACTCATGTGTTTAATCCCAAGAAGTGAACCTTTAATGCCAGGGAGTTATGGCAGATAACAGAGAGGTATATAAGGCATGAAGACCAGAAACTAGCAGCATTTGGTTGGTTAAGCATTCAGGCTTTCAAGCAGCAGTTCAGCTAAGGAGGACAGCAGTGACAGTGAAGGGTAAGATTTTTTAGCATTTAGCTATTACTCTGACCTCTTGGCTTTCATCTCTGCGTTGGCTCTGTGTTTTTTATTTAACAAGACGGTTACATCTACAATTACATGCAACAGAAAATGGGCCACATTTGTTCATATCATCAAGTGCATTTTCAGAAAAGTATAACAAAACTTTTTAACACACAGTTATGGAGCCAAGATTTGCAAAATTCTATTTTTCACTTCAAATAGTTTAAATACTTTTAAGGACAACAGATGCCACAAACTTATTCTCCTCCTTTCAAGAAATGCCTGCCAAATATTCTTGTCTGAATAACCATATCTTTCTAGTACTTGTTATTTCAAGTAAACATGGCGTTCCAGGGAAATAAACAACAAACATGGACCACAACTCAAAAACTGCACAAGTAACTTCTTTGAGAAAACAGGGGGCATGCTTCAGAGGTGCTACTTGGCTTTAAAAACTGTACTAAATTACTTCCCCAGTTTCTACTGGAACCCAAAATTATCATGTGAGGAAGCAGCTTAGATATCTAAGTTATGTTCTTGAAATAGCTCCTAAAACTATTTTAAATATGTCACCAAGAATCCTGTTAAACTATACTTATGTTGAAAAGAATGTCCACTTGAAATGCTCTCTGACAACAGATTAACGTCAGTCCCCTTTTTGTTACTTATACACATTTACAAAGTGCTGCGAATAAATTGTATTTCATGAACTAGCATGAACTGCAGTAATCATTTTTAGATAAGATGGAATGAGGAAGAAAACAGGTCAACTAAACATGTCGTTTATAGAGAAAACACACTAACAGAGGTCCCCTAACAATGACCATAGGACACCTGAGAAACCTGAGTTGCTGGATTTATCCCCGCTCATCTCAGCCCACGGAGCAGCAAGTCTTTGTATCTGAGATGTTAGTTAAAAAGTACTCATTTACCACATTGCGGCAGGGAGCAAAAACATCACTGTACAAAATGGAGCATTCTTTCTTGGCATAGGGAAATTTGTTTTGGTGTGCCTCGCAGGGCTTCAGGGCTTCACTGGGATCTTCACACTGTTGGAAATCAAAGAGCAAGTAAAGATCTCCAAGAGGCTGAACTCGGAACCCGAAGCACCCTGCCTCCTGACTCCACCCATGACAGCGGCATCTCACATGGTTTCACCCTTTTAGACATTTTCTACCTACATCTCTGCCTGTTTTCACCCATATAGGCTATCTACTAATACCACAAATATATTAGACAGAGTGATGTTATGGGGGAAATTAATCATTTTCAATCGTTCACGAATGCAGTCTTTTCACGAAAAGTTCTATGAGCATGGCTCTCTTCCCTCTACTTTTCATGTTGTCCGATTTTTGTCTCAGGCCATCTTCTGAGATCTAAGATGGACAGATCTCTACAATCTCCAGAGGCTCGACTTCCATAAACCCTACCATTTGACCTCGGCTGTCTCTAGTCGGCCTCTCCCAACTTGCGGGAGAAAGGGCACCAGTGAGCTGCGCAATCCTCAGCACAGGGCCAGTGGCTCAGTCTGCAGCCACTTGAACTTTACTTACCTTTGATTCTGTCTTAAGTGTCTCATCGGATCTGGATTCAGCAATGACATTTTCTGCTGGGTTTTCTTATACTACGCCGCACTAGCTCTTCTTCTCCAACTTCTTGTTCCCACCTTTCTTAGCAAAACCTTGCCTTGAAACTTCTATGTCCCTCATTTGACACAGTGTCCTCACTTCAACAGCCTGAATATGCTACTGGTTGTCAAATCCCTATTTATACACCAGAGCTCTTTCCTGTACATTGAACCTAGACTTCTCCAGCTAAATATCTTTCCATCACATCTTTCTCAATACATCCTAAGGTGTACTACACTTATTTCTACTATATCCTGAGCTCAACTCCTGCACACATGCACCCCCTCTTTGCCCTGTCCAGGGGAGAACCCCAGATGATATTTTTAATGCCAGAAAGTATAAGGCTTTTTTGAGTCTTCTAAATGCATCCTTCTCAATAAAGTCCTACAGTAAGTACTGGGAGTTCTCATTGTTAATGTTCTCACATTTCTGTAGCCTTCTATCTCCCCTAACAGCTAATCTGGCTGTACTACAAGAGCCTCCTGCACCTGCTGAGATCTATCCTTGATCTTTCAGTCGTTCTGTTTCTAACCCTACGTCATAACCATATGAACATTATGAGAGGTTTTTACGCTCTGTACTCTCTTCACTCCTGTTCACATCTGCTGTGTGATTTCCTCCCTTTTTCCTCCATCTGCTTTCCTATAAACCAGTGGTTCTCAACCTGTGGGTTGTGTGACCCCCAAAGGAGTCATATATCTGATATCCTGCATATAAGATATTAATACTATGATTCATGACAGTATCAAAATTACAATTATGAATCAGCAATGAAAATAATTTTATGGTTGAGGGGTCATCACAACATGACAAACTGTGTGAAAGGTCAAAGCATTAGGAAGGCTGAGAACCACTGCTGTAAACTTTACCTTCTCACGTCTTATAGGTGCTAAAGACCTTATTTCCACAGCATTTGTTCCAGGAATCCTCCTTGGAATGTTATAATTTCCACATGGTGGGAATTTCTACTAAAACACCTATTTATATCAATATATTTTTGGTAAATTTTCCACATCACATACTAACTTAACATTAAAATTCCTCAAAGGCAGAGACTATGATATTCATATTGTGTCTATATTATAGCAAGAAAATTATATTAGACAAAATCTACTGAATGAATGTGGAGCAGAAGGTATTTTGCTATGCTTGCAAAGATATGAGAGATGGTATATGTTTCAATGTCACCTTTGCTATTCTCTGAACACATAATTTGTATCAGACAAATCATTTCACCTCCTTGAGATACAATCTTTCTATCAGTAGTGTGGAGACAATAACTTTTGCAAAGTAAAGTTGTCATAATAATTGCATAGAAAAGTAACTATGGAAGTTCATCAACTATACATTATTATAAAAACACTATATGAAAAATAAGTAATTTGACTGTTTTGGAATAGTCTTTTGTTTGTTCTAAATTCCATATCTGTAACTTACCTGACCTAAGGCCCAACTGTCTCCAAACACCTGGGCATTTCTCACTTCCAGGTTATTAGATGTGGTCATATCATTTGAAGTACATTTGTCAAAGTTCCCACACAATCCTGCCAGCTTGTTCTACAGTAATAAAATTATTATGAAATATTTTATGTTTATTTTAAGACTCACATGTATTAAAACTTGAAAGATTTAAGATATATAAAGGACATTCATAGAAATAATTTTTTTAAATGTCTTAATAAAATGGTGTCATATCAGTTTAATTTTATTTATAATATGTAACAGGCCCCAAATATTTTACCAACCTCCAAGAACTATCTATCCACACTTACTATAACATCTTAGCATTGTTATTTCTAACAATGTAAATAGGAAGGTATATACTGAGGTATATTAATATATGTGCATATAATATATACTGATACCAATGTCTTGTATATAAGCATAAATAATTTTTATAAAGAAAAACCTACTTTATATATTAAAGATTTTGTAACAGGCTGGGTGGTGGTGGCACATGCCTTTAATCCCAGCACTCAGGAGGCAGAGGCAGGTGGATCTCTGTGGGTTGGAGGCCAGCCTGGTCTACAGAGTGAGTTTCAGGAAAGGCGCAAAGCTACACAGAGAAACCCTGTCTCAAAATACCAAAAAAAAAAAAAAGATTCTGTAACAGTATAAATGTTGAAACAATAAAGCTAACTTAAGTCAGTACAGATTCTGAAATGACAAATGCAGTGTCAATGGGAACTATTCACATCAGTACTGAACAACAGATTTTCTCAAAATACTGCAAGAAAATTTACTTTTAGAGGCAGGATCCTCTAAGACTTTCAAAAATGGATGATATTCCAATAATAATGGAACTCCTGCTTAAAACCTTGAACTGATGCTCCTTGAACTCATTCTTCAATAGTAATGCCTGGAATGCAACCCTTTAAAGTAACATGGACAGATTTCTTATCTCCAGAAAAGCAGACAGTGTATCGAACCTGTGTTAGAAACTGTATTTGTCCAAGAACAGTTACCATTTCCATCCATGGGTAAACAAATCAGGGTACATCCATACCACAAGTTACAATAGTACTATAAGGGGAAAAAATACTAATTCATGCCATATGAATGAATTTTATATTTATTTTGCCAAGTCAAAGATGAGAGATCTCAAAAACTACTAAAATTCCATTTATATGCTATTTGTGGAAGGAAAAACAATGGACATAGAAACAGTGGAAGTAGAATGATATTTTTCCAGATTGTGGAGGTAAGACATGGCAATAATGGAGAAGCCTGCATGAAAAGCGGGCATTGGTAGGCTTGTTTTGTAAAGAACTACAATATTAGATCAAGACTCCATACATTTTTCCAAATCCATGGAGCTGTAAAGGTAATTTTAATGTTCCTTCCTACTACTCACTTACTACCACAATTTTATACTATATGTGTGGGGCTGGAGAGATGGCTCGGCGGTTAAGAGCACTGACTGCTCTTCCAGAGATCCTGAGTTCAATTCCCAGCAACCACATGGTGGCTCACAACCATCTGTAATGAGATCTGGCGCCCTCTTCTGGCCTGCTGTCATACATGCTCTATACATAATAAATAAATAAAATCTTTAAAAAAAGTGAATTTATTTTAAAAAGCTACAATATGAAGCAAAATAGAGAAAACGGAATAGTACAATAAGTGAATCTTTTTTAAAAAAAACTCACATAGCAAAACTCAAGGGAGGAGAAAGAAGGAAAATTCATGAAGCAACAACAGATCATGTGATGTTAAAAGCGAAAAAGAACTAGATGAGATTAGCCTGTGTTATACAAATTAATAGTCCATTCCTTTATATTGCTAAGTAGCATTCTGTTACACCACTTGTACAACTGTACCCCAATTTCTGAAGTCCTTCACGTAGTATATTAAAGCTAATTTTGAAAACATAACTTAACTCAAAAACAACTCTCTGTAGTTTATTAAAAAAAGAAATCATTTAAAATTAAATTTGCTTAACAATTTGTTCAATCGTTCTTTTCTTTAAACGTGAAAAGATAAACACAGTTCCATTCATTGCATCCCATTTAGGGGTTAGGTCGCCCTACCTTCCACTGTGGCCCAACTTTGATGTGAATGGTTGTCTTCTCGTCCCACAGAATGGTGATATCTTCCTCTGGAAAGTACACTACGATGTAGTGCCCAGCCTTCCACAGCTGGTATGCAGGTTCGTTTTCCAGGAAGAAACCTGATCGCTTCTTGAAAAAGAATAAAATGTCTGAGGGTGAATATCACACTCTCTAACCAAAGGAGGGGACACATTAATGCCTTCCAATAATTACCTAAGATGATTGCTTGCCTTGTTTTTTTTTTAATTCTCTAATACAAAAATGAATGTATTAAATAAATTGGTGTCCATATGAAAACTAGAAGATGGGCTCCACAAGAGACCGTGGAAAAGGTAAAAGATAATCAATCCAGTGACAATGGAAGGAAGAGAAAGAGAATGGACACACAGAATAGGAGGGGGCAATGAATACAAAAGGTTGAGGATGAAAATGCATGTTCTTCCCTTCAAAAGAAAAAGGTATCCTCGTGTATGAGTCTAAGCATTTGAATACAGCATAAAATTGGTCTTCTAATGTTATTAAACTCTTTAATGAAATACAGAATTGTTACATTTGGCAAAAAAATACAGTGCTTTCAAAGTCCAGTGAAAATTTTCTAGATTAAAAAGTTTAATAACTGAGGGCTAGAGAGATGGCTTAAAAGTTAAGAGCACTGGCTGCTCCTCCAAAGATCCAGAGTTCAATTCCCAACAACCACATGGTGGCTCACAACCATCTAGAATAGGATCTAATGCCATCTTCTGGTGTGCAGGCAGAACACTATATACATAATAAATAAACCTTTATTTTTTTAAAAAAAAAAAAAAGTTTGATAACTGAAAAGAGAAAGCACAATACACATGTATGTATATATGCACATATATACATATATGTGCATACACAGAAGTGTATGTGTATGGGAAAGTGACAGGGGTAGAGACAGACAGAGACAGGAGAGATGAATTATCATCAAAGAGACTTTGGAAGGATTACAAGGGGGAGGTATTAAACTTGGGAAAGAATCTGTATAGAAAGGAACAGGAAGCTGTAATGACAATGGAGAAGAAATGAGGACAGAAGCAGAAGGGATGGCCTAAACAAAGGCTTGGGGCCAGGGCCATCCAAGATACATTCAGGTCTAAGAAAAGCAGTAAAGGGCTGAAGCATGGACACCATGACAAAGCCAAGCCTAAGGCCTCAGCACCCAAGTAGCTCTAACAAAGTAACTATCATATGTGCGAAATACAGTAATAAAGGCTTTGATCATGGAAGTAATTGCCTATGCTTTGGAAACTCAAAGGAAATAATTTGCAAACTAGAAATGGTAAGAGGGATTAGATGGGAAATACATTGGGAAACAAGAGTACCTATAATTATGACCATAGCCATGAATTGAGCTTATAAAATGATCTTGAAAACACATGGTTATATTAATGAGAACAAAGCTGATTTATCCAGAAGAAAACAAAAACTGGGAACAGGAAATCTTTCATCCATTTTTCTTCAATATAACTAAGTGTAGTGGGAGAATACCATATGGAAGTGGTTTTTAAGTGAACATTTCAAAGGACAGATGAATAGACTTAATCATATTTATAAGGTGTTTTCCATCTCCTATACCAAGATAATGCTTATAACTATATTGTACATAGCAGATATAGCCATCCATATTGTTAACTGTCTTTACCTAGCCTCAAATTCTTCTACTCCTCAATCATCTATTCTCGCTGGCTAAGCTAGTCAAGTTATTGTTTGAACCATCTCAAATCAACATACTTGATATTCCTCCTGCCCCCGAGTATGGCATAACTGCTTTATTCCCTTTTTGACTCAAATGTTTCCTCCGTCAGGATGCCACACACTATCTCTCACTCCAAATAAACTGACTTATTGGGCCCACACTTAGAGTTTTAATGCTCTGTAACTTCCATATTGAAATCAAGTTTACTTTTAAGTCTATGATTCATGAGTCAAGTCCAGCAGGATAAAGATCATGCATCTGTGCCATGGTATCCTGACTCACATGCATCCTATGTCTTGCATTTCCCACCTCTCAGTACTGCTTTTCAGGTTCTTGCTTCTTGGCCTCTGCTTGGGGACCACTGCTATACTTCATCCACAACATAGAGTCAGGACAAGGTCAGGTTGAGCAGGGAACCAAGAACTAAGAGTGACATGATGGTGCCCTCCACACTAGGAAGGTCTGCAATCACCATGGAAGGACATCAGTGCCCAAAAGAGCACCTATTAAATGGATAGAAAAACATCCTGACAAAAGAAACCAAGAGGGAAAACAGATTCTTCCCCCCAGCCCCCAAGGATCCTACATTTTCATTTGATGGAGGCACCACAATTTGTATAACCTGCTATGCCCCCAAATTACTCGGTCACGACATCAACTTTTATCTTCATTATAGTTTCCAGTAGTTTTTGTTGCCTGACATGTCTTTATCAACTCTCTCCATCTCAGCAGTCTAGTTTTAAATCAGTGGCTCTAGATCAAAAGCACGCCCTTTCTATTTGCCATCAGATACAAAATACTCATCTCATTAGGTAAGGCAGCCTGAGACAAGAACGTCCTTCCTAATCAAAAGAAAGGACTGCGCTCCTTGCTTTTCAGTTCATCAGCTAATGCCTTTCCTTCTAAAAGAGTCGGTAATGAACTGTCCAACGTAGCAACCTGTGCTTTAGCACGCCAAACACAATTGAATGACGTTAGAAAGATAAGGCAGAAATGGAGAGAATTAAAGCATTTCTGAGTACAGCTCGGGTCAATTTGTAAAAGGTTTTCAACTGGCATATTTGATTGACTTACAATTGTGCATTTATATGAAGAGCAGAGGGTTGTTTATTCATTTCCCGGGATGATCAGCCCATTAGTTATGAAGTAAGTGGCACTTGCTATATCTTCACTTATGATCTCCCAGAAAGACATTTTAGCTGGGAACTTGTTGGGATCAAACTATTCTTGTGACTTTTCTTCATCTTACTTCATTCCTCACAATCTAAATAAAGGAGATTCATCAACACCTGTGTACAGGTGAAAATTGGAGGCTGGGAGTTACACAGAGCTGTAATTACCACTTCAGAAATGTGCCAAATTGCCTTTACATGAGCATTTAACCAATTCTCTCCTTTTGAAAAAGCATCCTTGATCAGAGAGAGACCTTCACCTATAAATGAATACCCAGCTAATGGCTAAGCTGAGCATTTGTAATTACTTAAAATAGATGTCAACATGACTGTAGAAGCCGTTTCGTCTTGTCTGATTGCTGTGTGGCTACTCTCGATGTTTCTACCTAAAACACAAGGTTCTCAAACTGCAGTTGAAGATTTTGGGGATACGATTGAAAACCAAAGTAGCAAAAATGTCAAAAAGTACTTCAGGGGCACAACGGATTACGCAAATCACAGGCCCTGTCCAAATGAAAAAAGCGCAGCCTTTGTTTAAAACTGAGAAATATCCCTCTTTTTAGCAGAGAGGGTTCATGTTTTCTCTTGACCTGCCATGTCTTTTCACCTTTACCTATTCCGGTGCCAGAGGCAGAATACAGAAACTAGCCCTTTCAGCAAATGTTCCAGATGACTTTCAAGAAAAATGAGTTTCGGAGAAAACTTAGGAAAACAGTGTTCTGGGGATTCTGTTTGAAAGGGTGACCTTTAAAAGACCATTGTCAGATCATACACTCCAAAGCTCCAAATTCATTGCCTTTGAAATGAAGCTCATGGGACTTGTGCCATCTAGGAGCTTCTGGTCTGAGCCTAGAACCCTTGGCAGCCACTCTTGTTCTCACGCCTTCCAGAATCTCAGCCACACCCTTGCCCTATCATCCCAGGAATTTTGCTTTAACCTAAGCCAATTGCTACTACCAACCATGACATTTTGTCTTCCGATTCTGCTCCTTTGAGTGTGATCATTTTCTGCAATGCTCTTTCTCCCTCTCCATCTAACTATATTCATGTATCTATCACCTATTATCTTTGTTCATCTCTTCTTATGTGGTTTAGTTCAGATTATGTCTCTTAATAAAAATAAGGACGATAAGGGGAAGGGGGGGGTCAGTTCTTAAAATTCATTTTTCCATACTTCCATTACAATCTCCACAGGACTGAAGAAGTTGGTTTTGTAGTCATGCTGAGGGAAAGCTGAAGTTTGAGAAGTTCCAAAAACCTTGCTAGAGTCGCACAGCAAGCAGGTGATGCGCGGATGCTAAATCAGTTCTGAGTGACTCTCAAATCTATGCTCCAAATTTCTTTGAAAATTTAGGGTTACTTTAGTGGTTTTTCCCAGGAGTTCTTCTAGGAGCCTATGGAGACCCTGGCATATCACATCACACTGTCCGATCTTATTTTCCTTAGAGAATCATTATTCACTTAAGTACATTACTTAAAGGCAAGTGGCATCTTTTCACTATTACAGCCTAAAAATTGAGTACAAGTTTTAGTAGACTGTGGACATATCGATGAATTAGTAAATAAGTAGGTGAATGAATAAAACTGATTCCATCTTTTAATTGGACAAATTTCTGGTATACAAGAATAAGTGAAAGATACAATGACCTTACTTCATCCGTTGCTCATAGGTACATGGGGAAGACAGATAAACACACAAGGAATTTGATCTAACAGGGTCTTTGAGAGCATCCTGAGAAGTTTCACAAAGGAGATAGGACATACTGCACAGAATGTGTTAAACAGACAGATGTTTTCATAAGTCACTTTTTTCTAAAGTTACAGAGGAGAGTAAAAAGAATCTAGAACATGTAAATAACTGGAAAATGATTCAACTTCTGGGATATGGGATTGAAAAAGAAAACCCTGAGAGGTGAGGCAAGAATGAGAGACAACAGCCTAATGAGTAAGAACCCAGCAGAGCAGCGGAAACACATCTGAAAATTTTTGAAGTACAGCAGACATAGGAAGCCAGATTTCCATATGGAAAAAGCCAGTGTTGCTACAGTGGGTGAAATGGAATAAAGGTGGGGGCTTAGTTGGAATATTAGGAAGACAGATTGGAGGGTACTGGAGGAACTCACATAACAGATGCTGGTTCTCAAAGCCAGAATGCTGATCATGGGAAGGAAAAATAGTAGCTATAATTGAAAAATGACAATAGGCAATATAAACAGAAGATGCAAGCAGTATATGGTTTAGCAAAAAACCCACACAAAATAACAAAGAAAACGATCTAGATCTTCTAACAACATAGATTCAGAGTTATCCAAAACATTTCTAGTCTGTTTTCTCTATCAATAGTATAAGTTAGGATTATCATAAAGGAAAGAATTCACTAACCTGTTTGTAAGGTGCATCATTGAGGTAGATTTCAGTGTCCCCAATGGATATCAAAACACTTTTAGAACAAACAATATCATTGTCAAAGCATTTCTTGTTCTGGGCAATCACAGATATATCAGAATCATCTGTACTCTGAAATATGTCAAAAACATTTTATTGGCACAAATGTATACTATATATAAATAGTAGTTACTTTTATTATTCAAGGCAACCAAGATTTATGGTGTCTTACATTATAAATTGAAAAAGATCATACCATTAAGGCAAAAAATAAAAATTATACTTAGCTGAAAATGAGAAAATATTCTACTGAAATATCACAGTCTTTAAATAATTAGCCTAATATGTTTTAAATGTTTGTTCTAGCAAAGCTTTTTAGGTCCATCATAGCTCCATTTGTCAACTACTATCATTCCCTTTATCATATATGACCACTAATATAATAAGTCACTTAGAGATATTTGACCTACTTTCATTTTCAGAAAACATATATTTTCATTTATCTTAGGGAATTTTCTGGGCTGGTTACTACCTCCAAGGATGAACTGAAGCAGTTGCAAAATTGTGCCATGTACTAGCAGACAAAATAAAGCATTTTATTTGAGGGTTTGCTTTGAACTTGATGGTGTCTAGTGTAATTCCTGTAACACTTGGAATTGATTTTTATTGAAAAACTGCATTGTACGGTGGAAGAAAACTGTCTCTCTGGAAGAAAACTTTTTTAAACATTAAAAGTTATTGTAAGTCAAAACATTGGAACATGAACGTGCGGAGGCAGACATGGGTGGCTTCATCAAAGGCAGCTGGATAGTGGAGATTTGGTCTCTATATTCAGACTTTTGGATCTCACATTCTCTCGTATCCATTCACTTAGTATCATTGTGCAAGTGTTCATAGCCCATCCCCCAAGAACTCACCAAGTTATAGTGGGATTACAGTACTTCCTTCCCCCCCAACACACTTCAATTACAGCAGTGTGGGAAAACTACATGTCACACAGCCCTGATGAAGACAGTGTAGAGCTCTGGCTGTTGATGCCTGCTGGATCTGATGCACAGGTGTACAAGTGAGAGCTCAACCTTGGGCTGTTGGTGGCTCTCAGGACAATCCTCATAATCAGCTGTCTCACTAGAGTGTCCAGGAGGTCCCTTGGTGTCAGCATTGTGTGTGCACCTGTTCCAGTCTGTGTGTCAAACATTCCTTCCCCACCCTACATATACGCCTCGTGTAAAGCAGGCACAATATTCCAGTGAATCACTTCTTGATATGTGCTCATGTATCAGAGTTCAACCTACAGCTATCTTTTCAAGCAATAAGAACCATCAACCTTAAGCAATGTCATAGGCCACCATTGGACAGTGACACTATCCTGTTGTTAACTGGCTAGGCCAGGACTAGTCATCAGTGTTGTGCCTCGATTTCCTGTGGCTGGTTAGGAGTACTCTGAGAGACGTGGGACTTAAGTTTATCTTGTTGAAATGATCCCATAACAGTTGAGAGAGAGAGAGAGTACTGAGACCACAGTGTTTTCCTTCAGTTGTGATCTCACTGACTTTCCTGTGGAAGCCACCGCCATGGTGGTAAACTAGCTCTGAGTGCCATTTCTGGGATGACACTGATCTAAATGCACAATCAGGGGTGTCATGAAAAATTGAAGTGACACTTTCATGGGCTTTCTGCTTCAGTGAGTTAAAAAGTTCCTGCTTCTAGGTGGTTCTTTTGTATTTGCAATCCAAGAGAGTTTCCGCGGTTTCCCAACTCTACTTTTTAAAATTTCACATATGGATACTGTATTTTACATCATTTCCCCCTTTTTATCCTCTCTCCAACTACACTTTCACCCCCTCAACTCTCTCTCTCTCTCAAATTCACTTCCTTTTTCTTATTATCTTTACACACACATAAAGCACGTACACACACACACACACGCACACACACACACACACACACACACACACTAGGTTTACAGTCCCAAGCTTGAATTTCTGCCTAATGGCCCGGTCTTGAGTCCAGTTGGACAGCTGTTGGTTACAACCAAGATATAAATGCCACTGTTGCCCCTTTGGGGATAGCTTGCTATGCTGTTCATTGCTGTGGTTCATAGACATCACAGCATGGTGGACAAGGGGTTATTGATGGATTTTTCTTCCTTGGCAGCTTGCATAGCACCTTCCCATACTATGAAAGCGAGTCTTCTGGGAGGAGGCTTTTGAATCAACGTAGTTCAATTCCTCTAAGTCTGATGTCATAAGACTTTATTGCTAACGAAGTCATTTTTTTTAAAGACCCCATCACCACGGAGTTGACAGCTGAGTGACTCTAAACCCCACTGCCCTCCCACCAGAGCTCACTCTGGAAACCCGCCCCAAGAGTCATTGGACTACATGTTGAGCTATGGCCTGCAGAATACCACTAGCTGGCGAGAAGAGCTTTAAATTGGAATCATGCATTTTGAGAGAGGTAGAAATCTGAGCTAAGATGTAGTCTAGAGTGCACCACACATATAGGCCTGCACCTACATGACGGATTGGACAAGGGCAGACCTGCCCCCATGCTCATGCAAGGGATGTACAAAGAAGTTGCATCCTCGAACAGTTCCTTTCCTTCTTTTTTATTTTTCTCTTATTTAATATCTACTTTCAACCTAGTGGATCAGCTTTGTCTTGTACTATCCTATTTTCCTTTGGCTTCTGAATAGGTTCTCCCAGAGAACAGAAGCGGGCCTGAAGTTGGAGGTCTCCCTTCCTCAACCTCCAAGTGCTGAGACTGTTTTAGGTGTTTAGTCCACATTTCTCCCTCTTTCTCTTTCCATGAAGCAGTCCTAAATTCTCCCTTTGCCTTTACTGTTTCCCCTTCATTTACTTTTCCCTTCTCGATTTTTGTTATCATGATTACTAGTCTCACCCTGCTTATTTCCTTTCTCTCCATACCTTCAGTGACTGATGTTGTATTAGACACCACACTGCCAAGTCATAGTACACTGTCCAACATAGTCAGTCATTCTTCACAAATAAGGTAGAAAAAAATCCATGATGATCACAAACTAAGGAGATACATGATCAAAAATCTATCACCACAGAAAGTGTGGGAAGGAATTCTATACACTGAAGCAAAAGATAAACACATCCATCAGGTCACAAGGTAAAAATAATAATCAGTGACACTAGAATAAGAAATAAGCAATGTGGGTTAAGAATGTGCCAGGGCTACAAAAACAACTAACGGGCAGGAATTTATATACCTCCCTCAATAGTAACCCTAACTATTATTCTCTTAGTTCTCTAATTTAAAAGGCATAGACTATGAAGGTGGATTCTAAAACTGGACTTATCTAACCCTTAGCTATAAGAAAAGGACCTCACTGGGAAAGAGAAACATGTAGCCTTAGAGTGAAAGGAATGAAAAATGTTCCAAGCAAATGTAACCAGAAAGCAAGCAGCTATAGCAATACCAATATCCAACACATTAGATTCCAAACTGAAATTGGTCAAAAGACATGAAGAAAGTCAATTTATGTTTTACAGTTCTAAACACATATGTGTTATACACTGCTGTATGTAAATAGATTGCTCCAACACAGGAACAGTGAGTGGCTACAATACCCACTTTCACAGACCACAGGTAATCCAGACAAATCCAGACAAAAAAATGTCAGAAGTTTAGTTCCGTGAAAGAACAAATGAATTCAGCAAACATCTATATTATTCCAACTAATCATTGTAGAATACATATTCTTCTCACTAGCCCATGGAAATTTCTTATTTAAAATATTCTGGAAAATATCTTAGGACAAAAAAACAAGTCTTGACAAACATAAGACAATGTAAATAATTTCTGGGATTCCATCTAGCAGCGGTGAAATAAAGCTGAAAATGATGACCAAAAACAACTGCAGAACATGCACAGACTTGTGGGAACTAAGTGACGTGGTACCTGATGATGATCAGTGAAGAAATCAGAGGAAGTTTCTAAATTCGTCAAATCAAATGAAAACAGTAACATGAATAACATCTTAAAAAATAAATAACAAAATGCTGCCAGGCCACCGCACACCTTTAATCCCAGCACTCGGGAGGCAGAGCCAAGAGGATCTCTGTGAGTTAAGGCCAGCCTGGGCTACAGAGCGAGATCCAGGACAGGCACCAAAACTACACCGAAAAACCCTGTCTCGAAAAACCAAAATAAAATAAAATGCCTGTTAATCAAGTTAACTGAGGGAATAAAGGAATTCGACAATGAAAAATTTTAAACAACTGAAGAAATTGAAGAGGATTCTAGAAGTTTTGAAATTTCTATGCTCATAGATCAATAGAATTAATATAATGAAAATGGCTATGTGTCCAAAAGCAATCTTGCAGATTCAACATAATTCCCATCAAAATCCCAATGGCATTCTTCATAAAAATAGAAAAAGCCATACTAAATTAAATATGAAAGCACAAAATACTTTGGTAGCCAGTGCAGTTCTGAACAAAAAGAATTATGCTGGGCTTAAAACAACTCTTGATTTCAAGTTATACTACACAGTCATAGAAAAAAAAACAGTATGGTATTGATACAAAACAGATATGTAGACCACTGTAGCAGATAAACAGAATTAAATCCACACAGCAAAAACTAACTTTTTTTGACAAAGTTCTCAAAAACATACACTGGAGAAAAGAGGCTCTTTTTTTTGTTTGTTTGTTTTTTGTTTTTTGTTTTTCGAGACAGGGTTTCTCTGTGTAGCTTTGCGCCTTTCCAGGAACTCGCTTTGGAGACCAGGCTGGCCTCGAACTCACAAAGATTCGCCTGCCTTTGCCTCCCGAGTGCTGGGATTAAAGGCGTGCGCCACCACCGCCCGGCTAAGAGGCTCTTTTTAACAAATGGTTCTGAGGAATTTGAACATTCAAATGCAGAAGAGTAAAACTAGAACCCTTTCTCACACCTTGTAAAAAAAAAAATTCAAATGGATCCATGACCAAAGCATAGGACCTGAAACTCTGAAGCTATCAAGAAAAAACACTCTAAGATATGCACAGATGTAAGTGATTTCTGAAAAGGATTCCAATAGCTCGTGGAATAGTACTAAGAATGGAAAAATTAAGTTACATAAGATTTAAAAGCTTATTCACAGCAAAGAAATCAAAGCA